TTCAGTGTATTTAAATGCATGAGGCTGAGATCACTTTATCTAATAAGGAAGGTTGACGAATGAGGTTGGAGGACTGAAGCTGAGGGCTCCAGAACAGTTCAGAGAAGAGGGTCAGCCATCAACAATGGAATAGCCAGCTCTAAGAGAAAACTTAAAAGAGTGGCTAGGATGCCAAATAAAAAACAGTATTGTCAAAACATGTAAAATGCTACTGAAAGGTTAACTTGAGCTGAAGTTGAGACTTGACCTTGGATTCAGCAACATGGAGGTGATATTGATAAGAGCTATTTAAGTGAAAAATTAAAGAGGAAAATGGGAAGAGGTTCAAGAAAATCAGCAATGGAGGAAGTGGACACAGCAAGTGTCGGTAGATTTTGAGAGTCATTTTACCATGGAGGCCAACAGGCCCGAGTTGGTAGCTGTTGCTGTTAGGTTTAAGTGGCAGAAAGTACCGTGGCGGTTCCTCATGCTGTATACATCACTCCAAGCAACAGATTTGATGCAAGAGGTTTGGGGGAGGGGTATGAAAGGTGGTCTGGGAGTGGGCCATGAGAGAGACAGGCTGAGAGACCGAGGCAGGGTGAGTGATGTTGTCAAGAGGGACCTTTTAAAGGGTGTGTGTGTTGCATAGGAAAATGTGCAACAGTGAAAATACACCGCACCTGGCAGTGGCAGCTGGCACTGAAAGGCAGGCTGGTGGAGCACCTGATTTCTAACAGTAGCACTACTCGTGATCAAGAAAAGGTGGATGTTTTTGTTTTGTTTTTAAGATAGAAGAAATAATGGGTGTTTATGTGCCAATGAGACTGATCCAGTAAAGAGAAGGATTGTTTTAATGCAGCAGCTAGAGTAATGTAATTTAGACAGGTAAATAAATGAATTACCTGTTTAAAAAAAATAAAAGAGCATGTTGAAGTAACAAATGAGGAAAACCCAAGAGAAATGTGTGATCTATAGGAAACATCCTACATGAATTTGCTTACATCATTTTCTCTTCTTTATTTTCAGTTGGGGCTTCCTATAAGCCAGGCTGGTCACAGACTTTCTTTGTAGCTCAAGATGTCCTTGAACTCTTAATCTTGCTGCCCTGTGGGCTGTGGGATTACAGCCATGGGTCTCCTCACAGGCTAGTCAGATGGTTGAGTGGGTGAAGGTGCTCACTGCCCAAGCCTGGGTGTCCTGGAACCCATAGAAAGGTGGTAGGAAAGAACTGTCCAGTCAGAGCTGTCCTCTGACAACTCTACAGGTACCATGATTTGCACTTAACCACTCACTAATTTATTATTAATCAATAAATTTTAAAATATATACTTATCATACAATAGAATTAACCCTTCTTAGCTTGGACTTTGAAGAGTTCCACAAATAGCACCACAATACGTAGATCCTATTTTGTGACATCATCTTGCTGTTTGTGGCTAGCCTGGAACTAATAACTCACAGCAATCATTGCCTCAGCCTCAGGAATGTTGACATTACAGGTGTCAACATCATGCCAAACAGCTGTCACCTTAAACTTCCTTTATTTGGTTAGTTTTTGAGACAGAGTCTCTTTATGTAGCCCTGGCTGTCCTGGAACTCATTATGTAGACCTACCTGCCTCTGTCCCCAGGTCCTGGGATTAAAGGCCACCACATCCAGCCATTTAAAGTTTTGTTGAAGGCTATAGGTTGAGCTAGACACTGAAACTGGAACCTCTGCATGCAGGATGTACTAGTGCTTTTTTTTTCTTTTAAATTACATTCGTTTACATGTATGTTTACATGTATGTTTGTGTGTTCATGTGTGCTTGCGTATACACATATGCAGTCACTTTCCATTTACCCTGTCAGTCCCAGGGATTGAATTGAGGTCTTTAGGCTTAGCAGCAAGTGCCTTAATCCATTGAGCCACCCTGCCTCAAACATTGGCTCCTCCTGTTTCAATCTCTTGTACTAGGATCAGAGTTGCATACTGCCATATGAGTCATGAACTTGAGAAAATAAAGATATCATCTAGGCCATTTCAGAGCAAGTTTGGCATCCTGTTGGAAAAATTAGGAAATCCAATCTGTGCTGATGAGTTTTTAGAATTTTGTGTAAGAGAGTAAGCTGTGTACTGAGATACAGTCAAGGCAACCCGGATCATTTACTGTAAAACCACAAGTAAGAAATAACAGGTTTTATGAGAAGCCCAGAGTCATATCCAGGACGGAGACCACAGAAGCTGGGCACAATTTCTAAGGATAAAGTGACACACAGAGTAGAGGCTTTTAGATGGAACCTCTATAGGATAGTGTACAAATTACTGACTTAATTGGACTTCAATTTCTTTATGGATAAAAGCTACTGTACATTATTACCTAAGCATTGGTGAGATCCCAGAGGAAAATACGTACAGCAGAGATGAAAGAAGTCATTAATACAAGATTTGGGGGGAGAAGAGAGATGGCTCGGCTCTTAAGAGCTGGCTGCTCTTCAGCAAGTTTGATTCCTGGCACCCGTATCGTGGTTCACAACTGTCTGAACCTCCAGTTTCAGGGAATCTGATACCCCCTGGTGGCTTCTGTAGGCACCAAACATTTACATGGTACACAGATGTGCATGCTGACACAACACCCATACGCATAAAAATAAATAGTAAATTTATAAAAAGGAATGGGGAATATTGCAGTGTAGAGAGAAGTAACTATGAATGAAAATACAAATAAGCTTATAGACAAAAGAGGATGTGGTATAATTTCACACGGATAGTCTGATTTTCTTACTGGGATGGATGATGAGTGCCTGCTGCGGACTGAGAAGTAAGACAAAGAGATTAAAGAGTGTGATCAGGCTTTTTGTTGGTTGTGGGTTTTTGAGACAAGGTCTCCAGAGTAGCCCTGGCTGTCCTGGAACTCATTGTGTAGACCAGGCAGGCCTTGAATTCAGAGATCCACCTATCTCTGCCTCCTGAGTGCTGGGAGGAAAGGTGTGTGCCACCATGCCTGCATATGATCAGGCTTTGGAAGTTTGAGGATGTAGGCCATCTAAAGAGGGACACTAGGGAGGTTTCTTTTGGGTTGGTTTCTGGTTTTCCCCACAGTATCATTTTAGTACTGGCCTTTTCATGTTCTTCCTGGGTGATACCCTTTTTGATTATATTGATATCTTCCAAGTAAAACATTGAGAAACTTTTAGTCCAGGGAAGTTTAGTAATTGTTGTAATTTTAAAATCTGTTGACTTTTTGTTTGGGAGAAGTGGTTTTGGTTTTGTTTGTATTGTGGAACCACTTGGCTACTATTAGCTTCTAATTTTAACGTGTTAAAGCCATTTGAAACCACTACACCAACCTCCCTTCTTCTACCGTCAATCACTGCGTAGCTGGGGCTGGGAATCGAGTTTGTAGTAGAACACTGACAGAGACTATATGATGCTTTTGTTTTGCTCACAGCAACTCAAAACAACAAACACAAAGGCTACCACTTAGATATTTTTACTTTAATTTTAAAAATACCGCAAATCTATACATTTGGCATTCTGAAAACATGAGCTTCAGCTTTTGTAAGAGAGACTTCTTTTTGAAGCATGCAGCAGTAACTGCAGACACCCAGAATTTGTCACAATGCTGAGAACAAGTAACTTTAATGTTCATCTATAAATGGAGCATCTATCATCCCACCAAGACTCAGGGAACATTTTAGAAGGAATAGAAAGAATATAAGAGGCAAAGGTTGGGCCAGAATGTTGGGGAGTGTTGTCTTCGGGTGTGACACGGCTGTGAGACTCTTGAACTCATAGCAGCTCTTAGTGCCTGTATAAGATGTACACAAGATTGGGGCCATCAGCATCTCCCTGTGGGGTGGGAGGGGCTTAGGAGGGCCCTCCTCCTGAGGGTCTGTCGGTTAGTAATGGTGACTGGAGGAGGCAGCGGGGTTTCCCTCTGGCATGACTCTGGGAGGGCACCCTTGCTCCTAGCCTCTTGCCTATAATGAAACTCATTGGATCACCAAAAGAGAGAGAGGTGTGAAATGATGAAATGACGAGGACGGGGGTCAGTAGTGATTGGAGGAAGACAAAGAGTCGGTAGGGAAGAGCAAGTGAATATGATCATATTATATACATGTAAGAAGATATCATAATGAAACTCATTATGTACATATGCTAATAAAGCCATAGTTTTATTTCAAATATACTATAAATTTACTTGTTTTATGTTCATATTATACTTTATACATTTTTATATTCTGTACATGTACTAAAGCTCTATTTGGTTTTGTTTAATTTTTTACTATAAAATACAGAACTTGGTATGGATTTGAGGCAAACTGGCCATAAACAGAATTTCTTTAAAGTGGCTAAGTTTAAAAAACAAGTAACAAAAGAAACCTTCTAGTACAGCAGCAACATCACAAAAAATATGTAAAGTACCCAGATAAAACACCTGTTTCACGATGCTGCAATTTTTTGTTGTTGTTAAGTAGACAAACTAGTTTATAATTTTTCGGTTAAATACAAATAAGAGTATTTAGCAGAACTGATTATATTCACTTCAACAAAGAAGTTAGTATGTATTTTCAATTAAGAACTTATTTTTTTGTTTGTTTGGGGTTTTTTGTTTGCTTGTTTGTTTTGTTTTTGTTTTCTGTTTGTTCCAGACAGGGTTTCTCTGTATAGCTCTGGGTGTCCTGAAACGCACTCTGTAGACCAGGCTGGCCTTGAACTCAGAGATCAACATGCCTCGGCCTCCCATGTGCTGAGATGAAAAGTGTGAACAATGGACATAAAAGTTGTTCAGTCAAAACTTGGGATGCAGAGGCAGGTGGATCTCTGTGAGGCCAGCCTGGTGTACAAAGTGAGTTCCAGACAGCCAAGGCTACACAGAGAGACTCTGTCTTGGGGGGTGGGGGAAGCCTGCACAGCATGGTACAGTATGTCTCTAAATGTGACTTAGCAGAATGGGATGGGACCATTGGAGTATAGATACAAAAGCCAACTTGGTACTACAGAACACTCACTTCTGTATTTTCCTGTCCTTTCAGGTAACGCTTCATTTGTTGCGTTTCCAGTTTCCAATACCAACTCACCAACAAAGATTTTACCGAAAACCTTAGGGCCAATAAATGTGAATGTTGGACCCCAAATGGTAAGAAAATTATCAGACATCAGAATTGACACTTTGCTTAGGCAAGACTAGTTTATAGAATACTTATGATGAAGATGTTTGGTCACACGGTCTCCTTAATTTTAGTTCTCATTTACTCCGTATAATTGATTAAGTATTAATAAAAGTTTTGTGTTCTCCATGTGTAGTTTTTGACATTTCAATCTGTGGGTTCTGAATGTGTAATATTAAGGTTTTTGCTCCCTTTATGAGGTCTTTCTTGACTTTTGTTGTTTAATTAACTTGAAATCTATTGTATTCTACTTGCCTTCTGTTTTCTTTTCGTTATAAAATAACTTTTGTGGAAACCATATGTTCTCATATAAGTTGAATATGTAACTGAACAGTTGAGTTTATACATGGAACTATAGACTTCAGGGTTGTTTTTTTTTTTCCCACTAAAATATTATTGTAGGTAAGCTCAAGCTTGAACTCACATTTTGGGAGGCAGAGGCAGGAGGAGCTCCACAAGTTACAGGATAACCTGTCTAGTGATTTCCAAGCAATCCAGGGAACTACATAGTGAAGCCCTGTTTGTAGAGAGAAGGTCAGGGCAGAGAGGGGAAGAGAACAAGGGTGTTGGGAGATGGGGGGATGCATAGCCAGGGAAACAACATTTTAATTCTTTTTGTTGTTGTGTTGGTTCTTCTTCTTCTTCTTCTTCTTCTTCTCCTCCTCCTCCTCCTCCTCCTCCTCCTCCTCTTCTCTTCTTCTTCTTCTCCTCCTCCTCCTTCTCCTCCTCCTCTTCTTCTTCTTCTTTTCTTCTTCTTCACAGGGTTTCTCTGTGTGTATTCCTGGCTGTCCTGGCACTTGAACTCATAGAGATCTGCACGCACCTCCTGGCTAATATTTTAATTATTAACCCTAAAATAATAGATGGAAAATAGATATGTATTTGTTCCTCTAAAAGCATTTATTAATTCTGCTAGAGCTTGAAATATGTAGCACTCTCAGAAACCTTATTAATAATCACAGTTGCATTAAGTTACTCTGGCTAGGTAGAAGGTTCCCGCCCATAAGCCCTGTACTCAGGGAGCTGAAGCTTGAGGATCAGTTAGAAGTACATTTAAAGCCATTTGGACTGTCACAAAAAACCTACTCTACAGAGATAGAGGGATGGCTCAGCACTTCAGCGCACTGGCTGTTCTTGCAGAGGGATCCTGCCTTGATTCCTAGCACTACATAGGGCTCACACTGTCTATAAAAGTTTCTGGCCTCCATGGCACCAGACATGTAAATGGTACACAGACATACATGCAGGCAAAATACCCATACATATAAAATACCTACTGTTAAAAAAATTCATATTTCTAATTTTAAATCTTTGTTGTTGTTGTTGTTTGAGACAGGGTTTTTCTGTGTAGCCTTGGCTGTCCTGGACTTGTTTGTAGACCAGACCAGGCTGACCTCAAACTCACAGATACCCACTTGCCTATGCCTCCCCAAGTGTAATTTAAAATATTAAACAAACATGTTTTGTTTGAAATTATTCATTTACTTGTATGTATACATGTGCACTTACACACATGCCACAGCACACAGCATGTGTAGAGGTCAGAGGGTAACTTGCAGGAGTGGGTTCTCTCCTTCCACTATGTGCTTTCCAGGGATCGAACTCAGGTTATCAACCTTAGTGACAATGCCCACTGCGTCATTTCATACTTAAGTATTAGATAATAATTCTTCACCGTCAGTGTTTATATGTTTTCATTTATAGAACAGTGCCAAAAAGGGTTGTCTGTGACATGGAGCATTCTGTGGACTATGTTGAATTCAACGTTTAGATGGAACTATCTTTTAATTCTTACTGGTTTCAGGAGGTCTTTAAGATATTATAAACATGACATCTCCTTTGGTCAGTTGAAGACTGTTAATTATCTGCAAAATTCAAGTTAAAGATAAAACACAATTTACTGTAAGAATGTGAAGAATGTAATCTAGCTCCAGACCCCATAGAGAGACTCAAATTAGCCCCATTTGAAAGTAGCTCAGGAGAGATTTTCAAACAGTGGCTAAGCATTTGCCCCTCTCTTAGCCACTAGAGTAGATACAGATAAGATAAGACACTTAGCTAAAGCCTGGACTTTGAAATGGAATTATTTAAGTACGATAATTAAATAGTAACTAAAAATTAAATTTGTATGTGAATAGTGCCCTTAGAGTTTGCCTGTACTTGGAGAGACCTTTTCTTTCTTAGGTAGGATGACTTTGAGCTCCTGATTATCCTGTTTCAGCCTCCTGGGTGCTTGGTGGAAATACTCTGATGAGGTTCCTGTTGAAGGTTAGAAACACAGTGTTGGAAAGTGAAGAAAAGGTCAGCCATCCTGTTACAAAGTGGCAGAGAGCTTGAGCAAAGCATGTATACAGCCCTGGTATTATTAGAGGAAGAACTTCCGAGCAGTGAAAGAAAGTATAACATATTCAGGGAGGGTATATTACTTCTCTTTATTAACTGTGATACTTGAGAAGGCAGAGTCATTGAATTTATAATCAGAGGGAAACAGAATTTGAAGAATTTGGAAAATTCTCAGGCACACCTTGTTTGGTTTATTTTCTTGTGGACTTTAGGGCTTTGGTGGTTGATGGGTAGAGGTTGGAGGTGGTTTCTGTGTAGCCCTGGGCAGCCAACTGCTTCAGCCTTCAGAGTGCTGTGAGAACAGCTGAGTAACACCCCCTCTGGCTATAGTTTAAATCTAAAGACTTAAAAAGATCTTCTGAACAGAGCACTAAGATATGGCCAAATGACCCTTTGATAGTAGATATAAAATGTGAGGGGTGCTGTTTATTAAGACAAGAGGATAATGAGTCTCAAGGCATTCCAGTGATTGCAGGTGCTGCCTCTCCATCCCATGATCAGAGCTGTAGGGAAGGGCAGAAAGAAAAGAAGAGTATGGGCATGGGGGATCTTGGCAATCCGTGTCTGGAACTGCCAAGAATTCTGGTTTGATACTGCTTAGTCATTGTATGTATGGCTTTAAGGTACCTATGTGCAATGCAGGCATGGCAGTTGCGCCTTCAGAGGGTACAAATGACAGCACCTTGGCAGTGGTGTCCGTGTGTCCATCTCCACTAGGCTACAGAAGACTGATTCCACTTGGATTTCAAAGAACCCTTCAGGGAGCCTCAGGGACCAGGTAGAGAAGAGAGACCTCGTTAGAGGGAGGTACAGGAATGGGACCCCACCAAACTGGTGAAGGTGCCACCAACAGTAGGGCTACCACCCTTAGCAACCTGAGCAGTTCCTCTGGGCTTTAAGGACTTTACTCGGGCTGAACTTGAATTTGTGGTTTCCACACTGAAAAGAATTTCAGGCCTAACCAGTGTAAGAAGCAGAATTGGAGATTTGATTTTATTTTCAATTTTATTTTATGTGCTTTAGTGTGAAGGTGTCAGATTCCTTGGAATTGGCATTACAGACAGTTGTGAGCTGCCATGTGGGGGCTGGAAATTGAACCCGGGTCCTCTGGAAGAGCAGACAGTGCTCTTAACCACTAAGCCATCTCTCCAGCCCTTGGAGATTTTATTAAAGGCACTGTATTTTGGCTTAATTTTATATGAGTGGGTGTTTTGTATGCAAGAATGTCTGTGCATCACATACAAGCAGTGTCCATAGAGGTCAGAAGAGGCCATGAAATCTCCAGAAACTATGTTCACAGGCCTTTGTGAGTGACGGTATAGGTTCTGGGAACCCAAATCCTCTCAGAGCAATAAGCGATCTTAACCAGAGTGTTCTAAGGTAGGTGCAAGCATCAGGTTAGGAAAGCGGTGCTCAGAGTAAAGGAAGGCACATTGGACAGCCTGGTTATGGGATTCTCTGCAGATAGCAGCTCCTGGATTTTACAGTAGTTAGATACAGCATTTTTGTGGAATTTGAAGTTAGTATATTATCAGTGGGTGGTTCCTGAGGGGCACCTGATAGTTGATAAGATGAAATCCTAGCCCACAGAAATACAGGAAAGAGTTTCGTTTGAGGTCCTCAGGTAGTATGTGGGGAATGGAGTGGGGGCCTACCCAAGGTCATACTCATTCAAGTTTTAGACCTAATTTATTGTTACCTTAAGGTGAAATGTCTGCAGATGAAGGAATTATTATTTCTGTGTTAGCAACCTTCATAGCAAATGTTTGTGCTGGAGTTGTGACTTTTCATTTGGCAAGAAACTGTGATCAGCGCTCCTGGGTGGCAGCTGCTTCATGTTTCCCAAATTTCTCTCCTGACTTGGGTGTATAGAGAAAGCATTTCAGAGTATAGATCCTACAGCCCCACGTGAATATAGTGTGGGCCGAGACTTGACAGATCTATGGCCCTCTGTGTTGGGACATCCAGTCGTTCGGAAACAAGGTCCTAAAGCTTCGCATTTAAAGCTTCAGTCGACTTGGTAGTGACTCTGCCCTGTCACACAAGCAGCTACCTGGAGGCACTTGAATCGCACCCCGCCGTGCGGCAGAGCACCTGGTCAAGGCAGTGTTGTTATCGGAAGTCTGTGTCAGTTCCACTAAGCTGCTGTTTGTTTTCCTTCCCTCCTTACATTTAATTCAAGGTCTCTGACTCTCAGGAGATGGAAGTGTTGAAGAAAATTGAGAGGCCTGGTGCCCAGAAGGCAAGATTAGTGTGATTTCTATCCTCCACACTGCCATTGGCTAGGGATACGTGGAGGTGGGGCATGTAACAGTGGAGATATGCAAGGAGAGGCTCTAGAGATGTGCGCATACATGATTTCATTAAAAATATAACTATTCCCAGGCATGGTGGCATATTCCTTTAATTCCAGCACTCAGAAGGCAAAGGCAGGCAGATTGCTGTGAGTTTGATGCCAGCCTGGTCTACAGAGCAGGTTCCAGGACAGCCAGGGCTACACAGAGAAACCCTATCTTGAAAAGAAAAAGTAAAAAAAGAAGAAAAGAATTATTCTTCCATCTTCTTAGTTTATCTTCAGGTTAATCAGTTATTGTAAGGAATGATTCTTAGCCAGATCACTGACAGG